ATGATCTAAGTGGAGCTGAAGAATCTGTAAGCGAGAGGGTTGCAGCGCTTACTAGAGAGATTGAAGAGATGAAAAGGGTTCAATCTAGAGAGATTGAAGAAATGAGAAAGGTTCAGAATGAAATGCAAGCAGAGTTGCAATCCTACAGAGCTGAAAAACAGAGGAAGAAGGACCAACAGGAGCAGCCATCTGCAGACAGTGAGGATACAGATGATGATTAGATCTATTTTATGTTTGATGATTGTATTAATTAGAACTTGTGAATTTCAGAACTTGTGATTGTAACATTATCATGAACTTACTTGTGAACTGTGATTGTAATGTTATGATGAGCTTGTGATTGTATTTATAATTTATGGTTGTGATGAATCTAACGGCGTGTTGCCCAACATATGATTGTGATGAATATAGCGGCGTGTTGCCTAACATATATTGCTCTTTCTGCAGGTTTAGACTTTAGGGTGAACCTCCCTCAAATAGAGGGGATGCTGTCAATTTTTTTTGCAGGTGCTACAGGTTTCCGGCGGCTACCCGGCGGTTTGGCCGCCAGAAACTACGATACGGACGGCCAATAGCCAGCCGCCGGTAATGGCATTACACCGTCAGTTTATTACGGGCGGTTACCGACGGCCACCGGCGGTTACCGACGGCCACTGGCGGTTCTACGGTGGACAGCCGGCGATTTTGACCGCCGGAAATACCGACGGGTAGGCCGCCGGCTTTCGCCGGTTAATTAACCGGCGGTCTACCGGCGAAGGCCGGCGGTTTTAAAAAAAATACAACGGCTAACTAAACCGCCGGCAAACCGTCGGTAAACCGACCGCCGGTAGGCCGTCGGTCAAATAGCTGGCGGCGTCACAGCCGGAAAACCACCGGCATAAAATCCGGTTGAAACCGGCGGTCGGAACCGTCGGAAAACCGCCGGTGTTAGTTTCCTACGCGATTTTTTCCGGCTGCACAAAACCCGCCGTAAAGTTGCCGGTAGTTAAAAAAATCGCTTGTGAATATAGGCTAACCGCCGGAAAAAACCGCCAGATTTCGGCGTTTTTCCTGTAGTGTGGCTTGATGTAAAAAATGTACATCATATATAACGCATTACATAGTGGGAGTTACAATATATACATGTTTATTTGGTCAACATGACCATAGTCGATAGGATGGAGGCCAGAAAGATCGTTGTCTAGTGATGGAGGTTGGAAGGACCATAGTAGGCGACGGAGGTATGAAGGACTGTAGTCAGCAGGAGACAGAGGTCCAAATGACTGTAGTTGGTAGGAGACTGGGGTTAGAAAGACCATTGTCTATTGATGGAGGTCGGAAGGACCATAGTAGGCGACGGAGATCGGAAGGACCGTAGTCGACAGGAAACTGAGGTCCGAAAGACCGTAGTTGGTAGGAGACCGAGGTCAGAAAGACCATTGTACGTAGAAGGGCGGTACTTCGAGAGAACTCTTGGCGTCAAGCCCGACAGAAGTCTAGGCCTCAAGTGGTGGTCCAACGGAGCAATGAAGCCAGGCGGGGGTCTGGCAGATGTGAAGGCCTCAAGTGATGGTCTAGTGGAGCAACGGCGTCAGGCGGTGGTCCAGCAGAGTTGAGGGTCTCAAGTGGTGGTCCGGCAGAGCAACGTCATCAAGCGGTAGTCCGGCGGAGGTGAGGGCCCCAAGTGGTGGTCCGACAAATGTGAGGGCCTCAAGTGGTGTTCCGACGAAGGTGAGGGTCTATGATGGTGCACCGGCGAAGCTCCGGCGGTGGTCGAGGAGGAGCTTATTCCTTGTCTTCACTTCTTGCTTGGATCCCTTTTTAAAAAAAAATTAGAGGTCTATTTATAGATTTCTGGAGTGGCATGGCCCGTAAATAGGTGAGATATCAAGGTTAAATGGGGAGTGGTTAGATGGACGACCGATATTGAATCCCTTGATCATGCACCGTTCATCAGACATTTGAAGGCCTTAATGATGTCAAAATTTGGCGATCTTGGGCTCGTTGGATTCTTCTCGTCGAGCCGCTCGATTTGACTATAAGCACGTCACGTTTGAAAACCGTTTGCTAACCCAAATTGTGGTTCAAACCTTTTAACAGCGCTTCTAGTCCTCTATTTGGACTCATTTGGGCTCGAATTGAATCGAAATTGGTGTCGTTGGGTTCGTATTTTCGAGACGTTCAGTTTGACTATGAGTTTGCTAAAATCAGAGTTCGAATGGTTCCAATTTTAATTTCGAAAGTTTCCAACTTGATTTTGCATCGAGATTCATGCTCGATCAAGATAATTTTTATAGGACGTATCAATTATTATTATTTTGTAATTTGTATGGAATTATTATGCATAGAAACTGAGTATTTTATTAATATTGGTGATGGGCTGAAAATAAAATAAAGTACTTTTAAAGTATAAATAGGGGAAATAGCTTTCAATCTTAGGTGTCGGTTCTCATTTTACTCACATCCCATTATACAAAATATAATTTTCCCAAGAACAAAAAACCATTTGATTAAAGCATACATAAAAGCAAAAGCTAGCATGTTATAACCTCCATCATTAGTTATTATTTTTATTATTATTCACAGTTGGGTTTGATGATCAAATGATATAAAATAAATGTAGAGAGATAAGTTCTAGTTATATATAATTCAAGATTATTTTCTTAACAAGAATATTGTATGAGAGATAAAAGATAGAGTAAATGTTATAACCAAATAATTTTAAAAGCCTTTATCCATTAACCCGAGGAATATGAATGAGAGATACATTATTTTTATCACGCACCAAAATATTAATCTAAAGCCTAAATTATAAGTAATTTACAACATATATTTCTAGCTAATTGATATAATAGAGGAGTGGTTAAGCTAGAAGGATGGAAATTTAGCATTTCATCATGCCTTTAATGTGACAATATTATAAAACAGCTCCATATAATTATGATTTTTTTAGAATGACTTTGATGATAAAGATTAGAGAAACAATAATCTCCCTTATGAATACATATAGAATCCCATGAGATAAGAAGCAATTTCTTTTTTCAAAGAAGAGTCCAATGCATATACCATAAATCTAACATAGACGATCAAAATATTCTGAATTGGGTATTTATTAAGTTATAAACTGCCGATTATAGATAGAATGTTAGCTGGCAACTAACTTAGAAAATCATGAATGTTATCAAATAAAATGTGACAATCTTTTATATGAATGCTATTCAAGAAGAGGAAAATACGTAAGTTGTTACAAATGCTTATTAAGTGTTGAAAATGACAACGATAAGCGGGGTTATTATGAGGATTTTTAAGAAAAGGATGTTGCTCTAGAATTTTTTTTTGAAAAGAACTAACTTATCTACATATATGAGATAAGTCTAGAGGATCATATTGAATAATCTTGTAGCTTCCATTGCCTATCAAGTTTTGAAGAATATATAAGAGTGTCTATCACAATAAAAGAGTCTCTCTCTCTATATATACCATTAAATTCTTGTATACCTGCTTCTCTAACAATTTTCATATATTTAATAATTTTTAAATTAAATAAAAAATAGCATTAACATTAACTTATATAAAATAAATATATTTTTATATCATTTGATATGTCATCAAAAAATTATATTGATCGACATGAATATCGAGGCAAAAATCAAGTTGAAAACTTCAAAAATTAAAATTGGGATCATCTGAACTCTGATTTCAGCAAACTTATAGTCAAACTGATTGTCTCGAATATACGAACCCAACGACACCAAATTCAACTCAATCCGAGCCTAAATGGGCCCAAATCGAAGACCCGAAGAGCATTTGGAAGATTCAATCCATAATTTGGATTACCAAACAATTTCAAAACATGACATGCTTATGGTCGAATCAACCGTCTCGACGAGACAAATCCAACGAGCCCAAGATCATCGAATTATGATATCATTAAGACCTTCAAATGGACGACGAATGGTTCACGGTCAAGGGATTCAATATCGATCGTCCATCCAAAACACTCTACATTTGCCCTTGATCATCCCTCTATTTACGGGTCATGCTATCCTAAAAAAACTATAAATAGCCCCTCATTTCTCTTAAGAGGCGACCCAAGCAAGAAAAAGAAGAGGGGAAGGAGAAGAGAAAAGAAAAGGATAGGAAGAAAGATACTCCTCGACCACCGTCGTAATTCTGTCCGACTTCCACAATAACGCCGGAATTCCTTCTGACTTTCTAGTAACGACGAAATCCAGTCTGACTTCCACAGTGACGTCGAAATTTTGCCCGACTTCCAAGGGATACCGGAACTATGCCTGACTTCCACGGGACGCTGGAATTCTGCCAGACTTCCAAGTGACGCTAGAATTCCGCCCGATTTTCTAGTGACGCCGAAACTCTGCTCGATCTCCAAGTGACGCAGGAATTCTATCTAATCTCCAAGTGACTCTAGAGTTTTGCCCGAATACCATCTAACGTCAGAGTTCTCCCCGGCCGCCGACTGACGTCGGACTTCTACCCGACGTTTGACCTCCGCTCGTTGCCAGGTTTTTACCCGACGTTGAACTTATGCCCGTTATTAGGTTTTCATCGGACTTCTATATGATGCTAGATTTTTGTTCATTGCTGGACTTCTACCTAACACAGTCCTTTCAACCTTAGTCGTTAGACAACGGTCTTTATGACCTCCGTCACTTGCCGTCTATGGTCCTTTTGGCTTACGTCGTCCACCGATTATAGTCCTTCCAACCTCTGTTGCCGCCCACTATGGTCATGCCGACTTACATAGCCCATCAGCTACATTCCTTTCTACCTTTGTCACTCGCTGATTACGGTCATTCCGACCTCTATTGCCCGCTGACTACGGTCCTACCGACTTATGTCGCCCACAGACTAAAGTCCTTCTGACGTCTATCGCTCGCAGAATACGGTCCTGCTGACTTACGTCGCCCGCCAACTATGATCCTACCGACCTCCGTCGCCCACCGACTACAGTCCTTTCAACTTACGACGCCCATCGACTACGGTCCTTCCGACCAAACGAACACGTCAAATAAAGACTCTTTGTATTCCCACTATGTAGTGTACTCTTTAAGATGTACATATCGTTAAGGCCTTCCCCCAAAGAAAGGGCTCATTTGTAATCAACTGCAAATACTAGTTGATTTATTCAAACTAGGCTAGACCCCGTGATTTTTCCCATTTTCAGGGGTTTTCCACATAAAAATCTTGGTGTCTCATATGAATGCTACACACTCTCTCTTATCTAATTGTGTGTCGGATTTTCGTATAATGCTAAGACGCTAAACTTTATATTTCTCTACCGCCACAAATACTCCAGGGCGCAACACTATTTATCACTATACAATATTACATAAATAAATATAAAATTCAGATGTTAGATTCATAAATATATAAGAATTTAGTGATACCTAAAATAAGTTTGAAAATTTTAATTACAAAAAAGATAAAGTTGATATCGTTCTAAGAATTGATAATGATTTTTAAAATTTTATCAATTGAATTTGTTAACATCGCTAATCATAAAATTCACCTACAAAAATAACCCCAATGATGAGTCAATTCCTTAGTTACAAAAAAATAATAAATAAATAAAATCATAGTATGTGCTCCCAACCGTCAATAAAGTTAGCTGACCATCACGTTTCCAACGAACAAATCCCAACCGCACATTTATAACAAGCCACCCCACTCACTCACCAGCCGCACAGCACCGAAAGGATAACCCACCGTCGGCACCACCATGTCCCCGGCCGAAATACAACCAATAACAATCCTCGCAGTCCCCTTCCCCGCCCAAAGCCACCTCAACCAACTCCTTCACTTCTCTCTAATCCTCTCCAGCCGCAACCTCCCCGTTCACTTCGCCGCCCCTTCCTCCTCCATCCAACAAGCCCAACTCCGCCTCCACGGCTGGCCCTCCACCTCCCTCGGCAACATCCATTTCCACGAACTCGCTCTTCTCCCTCCCGCTCCCCTCCCCCCTTCATCTCCCCCTCACCTCTCCCACGCCCTCCGCCTCTTCGATACTCCCTTCCTCCTTCTCCCCTCTCTCTCCTCCCTCCTCCACTCCCTCTCCCTCTCCTCTCGACGCCTAATCGTTCTCCACGACACCTTCATGTCCGTCGCCGCCCTCGAAGCAGCTTCCCTCCCCAACGCCGAATCCTACACCTTTCAATGCGTCTCCGCCTTCCAAGCCCTCTTCGAACTCCAGCCCAATCTCCGGCCCACGACCAGAGCTAACCCAATCGTCGCAGCCCAGTTCGACGACTGGGTTCCGAAGCCCATCCTCGAAAGCGTCAAGCGGCTTGAGCATGAGAGGCCAGTTGAAGCAGGGATCATCGCAAACAGCTGTCGGGTGCTTGATGGGGAGTTTGTGGATCTTCTAGCGGAGGAATACGGGTCAAAGAAGGTTTTTGCCGTTAGTCCGCTGCATCTGATTGGGCCGAGGGTGGCGGCGGTGTCGGAGAAGCGGCATGACTGCTTGGTGTGGTTAGATAAGCAGCCGGTGGCGTCGGTGGTGTACTTGTCGTTCGGGTCGACGACGACGATGGCGGGTGTGCAGGTCGAGCAGCTGGCGATCGGACTCCGGCGAAGCGGGCAGCGGTTTATTTGGGTGGTAATGTTACCGGAGAGTGAATGGAAAATTGGTGATCTGATTAGTTGTGCTAGCCTAACCTACTTTAAGTAGGGTAGTGGAAAAAGTTAAATAACTTAATAGGTCCGATATGGGTCCAACCCAAAATTGATCTGGTCTGAATTTAATGGACCCAAATGCAATCCCGAGTAAAAAAGTTGGACTAGGACCGAACCAACTTTTAACTCGGATGATTCAAAATTAGCCTGATAACCCATTTAAATTAAAAAAAATCTTAATTATTAATTTTATATTATTAATAAAAAAATGAGAAGAAAAAATACAACAAGTAATAGAATAGTAATAGAATTTTAAGGAAAAAAAATTAAATGGATCATTTTTGAGTTAAAACTTAAAAATTGATTTCACAAGTCAACCTGAACTCAACCAACCAATTAAATGAGTTGGATTCAGGATTAAGCCCAACTTGTTTATTAAATGGTTTAATCCGAACCTAAAATTTTAATATCAAGCTCAAATTGGATTATTTATTCTAATCATTAAAAGTCATTGCTAGTATTTAGCGAAAAATTTTGAATTATAGAAAAGTTATTTAAAAAAATATTGTAATTAAAATTTAGAATATTCGTCATAATTTTGTATAGAAATGTAATTATTATATTCAAAAAATACATCTCATATGTTCATTTTCCTCTAACTTTTTTTTTTCTCTCACATAAATCCCAACAGATAAGGGAAGCTGACGAAGGGGCCATTGGGTCCGAATCTGACAGCCGAACCGGCGGCTTGCCGGCCGGATTCAAGGAGGAGATGGAGGGGTTTGGAATGATAATGAAGGGATGGGCACCGCAGGTGGACATATTAGCGCACCCATCGACGGCGGCCTTCGTGAGCCACTGCGGCTGGAACTCGATTATGGAGAGTTTGAGCTATGGGGTGCCGATCATTGCATGGCCGATGCAGATTGACCAGCCCAGAAACGCCATGGTTTTGACAGAGTACTTGAAGTCTGGGGTAATGGTGAGGGAGTGGGATCACCGGAAGGAGGTGGTGCCGGCGGCGAAGGTGGAAGAGGTGGTTAGGATGGTGGTGGTGGAGGAGGAGGGGAAAGAGATGAGGGAGAGGGCGAAGAAGATTGGGGAGGAGATACAGAAGGCTGTGGCTGAGGGGGGGAGTTCCATGGCTGATTTGAATGCCTTCGTTGCTCATATTACCCGCCAGGGATGATGCCGTTGAATAAAGAGTTGCGTCGGTAATAATGGGCTGATTAGCTTTGTATCAGTATGATAATTATCTGTTTTTAATGCAGTAATTGAGGAGTTCATCCTCTATATTTGGTTCAGTTTTTGTTGTTTAGGTTGTGTTGCTGCAATGAATTTCTAGTGGTTTCTAATACTGAAATAAATCTATTTATTTTTTATATAGTCAAAATAATTTTTTTTAATGTTTTAAAAAACACTCAACTCCATCATTGACCTCTATTACCGGCCGCCAACATCCCCACCATTGGCAATCACTGCCTCCAGCACTATTGGTCGCTGCCATCGTGCGGTCGTGCTCTCATTGCCGCCATAGCCGGACACCACTAATGATAATGATTAATCTGTTGTGTGGATCAAGACTGGCATAGGTAATACCAACACAACTATATATTGATTAGTGTAATACCAACATCAAGCTAATTTTCTATATCACAAATGAACAAAATTTAAACTCATCTGACTTGACATAGACCGGGTTTAAACAAGAGCTCAAACTAAGGTTAAATCATTATTCTTATGATGGATGTTCAACTTTTGGCTCACATTTTAAATATTGAATAAAATAATTTTTTTTAATGATGTAAGCATGTGCGAGTTGTAAAGATATTTTTAGAAGGGGAGTAGAAGTGGTGGACAAGTATTGATATGGCATGAATTTTGAATAAATGTTTGTTATCCTCATTGGCCACTCCCATCTCCACAAAATTCTCCCTCAAAGTTCATTTAAAGTTTGAATAGGTTGTATTAGACTATAAATAGGAGTATGAATAGACGAAAAATTAGTTTTGGATGCTTGCAAAACTTGGAGCTTAAGAACACTTTGTGTTTGGTAACCACCCCTCTCCTTTGAAGCTTCTTGGTAAAAATTCTTATCATCCTCCTCCTCTCTTAAAGTTCTATTCACTCACTTAAATGATAATATCTTATTTTTAATTATAGCACTCCTAATAGCCTCTCCAACCCTTGAAGCCCCAACATTATACAATTGGTTTGAAAGCTTCCCCATTGCCTATGATCATAAATCCTCTTCCTTCACCTAGTATGCACCAATTTGATCTTTGCACCCATAAATCACATCCGCACTCAATCAATACCTCTTTCCTACATTCCATGACATCTCTTACAACATAAAAAAATGCTAAACTTCCATCTTAGCCTCTACTACCAGTACACAAAATCAGCCCCCATCACACTCAAATTAGTCACAAGTGGTCAATCTTTTAACCCATTATAACTCACTCCAAATAAGACCATATACTAGACATCATAACTTTATATCTTAAACTAACCATTCATATCATTTTTCCTCAATTTATCCTTCTTTAAATTCATTCTGTTAAGAACAAAATCAAATTTGTTCAAAAGTAATAAGCACTTGATTCTAAGAAGCTCAAAAGTACTTAAAATTATCTTGTGGGGAGCTTTAAAATTCTTATATGGTTTCAATATGATTAATTTAGTTTTAAGTTTGGTTTCAATTGATTTTGAATTTTGGGTCTAGTGCATTGCCCTATATTATATTCACCCTATGATTGAACTACCTAGCCCTATGGATAGGCTTGGGTCCAGTTAAGTCATCCTTTACCCAAGGGGTCCTTAAGGCATTTTTTTCTACCAAGGTAGCTGTAGAGTCAATGAAATGTCTCCTATGGTATACTAATAAGCCAAGGGTGTTTAAGGTTGATTTTATCATAATAGACATATTAAATGTCATCTTTGTAAATACGTTAACTATTATTTACTTTCTTTTGCCATCTATCTCAGCTATATATCAATAGCCTATGTACTCTTTCACAAGATAATAATAATAAACTCTTTCTTACTTTCCTCTCTCTGTCTTCTCCGCTGTTCTTCTTGCTCCCGTTCCAAAGCTCTTATGGTATCAGGAGCCTCCATGGGAGATCAAGAATCCGCAGAGATTCTTCCCACCTCCCTCCCCACCGATCAAACCATCACCACCGCAAACCATATTCCACCAGCACTCAAATTTCTTGTATCCAACATCAAGAACCTAGCTCCTCATCCTCTCTCCACGGAGAACTATCCGATATGGCGAGTTCAACTCCTCCAGTAGTTTACAGCAAATGGCTATGCTGGCCATCTAAGTACTGTGCAGCCCCCTTGTGACCCAACTTCTGTCGCCCACACTCAACGGCTTCTTGTCGATAGCAATGTTCTTTCTACGCTCTTCTCCACGGTCTCGCAACCGATCTTGCCTTACATCATTACCTCCACCACCGTCCACGATGAGTTGACGATTCTTGAGCGCCGGCTTCAACCCACAAGTCGCTACCGTGTTATGCAACTCAAGAACGAGTTGTATCATGTTCAAATGAAGGATCTACCAATGCAGCAATACCTCACCCGCATTAAGTCTATTGTAGACAATATTTCTGCCTCCGGTTCTCAAATTGACCCAGAAGATATCATGCTCCATATTCTTAATGGTCTACCGTCCGCATTCAACTCCTTCAAATCCACGATACGGAACTCACTTCTTCCAATCGATCTAGATACCTTCTATTCCATGCTTTGCGATGAAGAAATTCATCTTCAACATGAGCACCTTCAAGATTCCGCTGTCAATGCCTCCGCCACCGCCCTCTATGCCTCCAATTCTCGCGGTCGCAATAACTCTGCAAAATGTTATGGCATAAGTAAGCCTCAGCAAACCTCCTCTGTTACTCCGGCGTATGCCTCCACCCCTCCCACCTCTCAAAATTCGGCGAGACCCACGTGTCAAATCTGCTGCAAGAAGGGCCATGTTGCGCTCAACTGCTGGCACTGGTGTAATTTGAAATACGCCCCCACAGAGTCTTGTCCGCCTCGCTCCCTTCTTGTCAATCCAAACTCAGCTGCAAATCAAGAATGGGTCCTAGACACAGGTGCTTCCGCTCACCTCACGCCGGAAGCCTCCAATCTCTACTACCCGTCTACTTATCATGGATCAGATGCTGTCTCAACAGCCAATGGATTCACGGTTCCCATTCATAACACCGGCCAGGGTCTGCTTCCTCTCCCGGACACGTCTCGTAAGCTCCGTCTCACTAACCTTCTACACGTTCCCTCACTTACTCATAACCTTCTTTCTGTTTCGAAACTCACCAAAGATAATTCTATCTCTATTGCTTTTGATGCTAATGGATTTATAATGAAGGATCTCTGGGACAATCATCCGCTGCTTCTTGGACAGCAACATAACGGTCTTTACCGTATCATCTTTCCACCGGACGGCAACCATGCGGCCCTCACGACGACGACGACCTCCTCGATTCCCTGACACTCGCGCCTTGGCCATCTCAACCAAGAGATCCTCACTGTTCTTGCTAAACAATTTCCGGATTTATCCATTGTAAAACATTCTGTCGTGTGTGACTCTTGTAATAAGGCCAAAAGCCACAAAATTGTTTTTAATAAAAGTGCATCTGTTACTACTAAACCCTTTGATTTAATTTACATCGACCTATGGGGTCTGACGTCTCAACCTTCTCTCGACGGGCACCGTTACTACATTATCTTCATCGACGATTACACCAGTTATTCTTGGCTTTATCTTGTCTCATCCAAACAAGAAGCTCTTAACTCCTTTAAAAATTACTGTAACATGATTCGTACCCAATTCAACACTACTCCCAAAACCCTTCGCTCTGACGGTGGAGGAGAGTACACTAGCAACGCCTTTAAGTCATTTCTTCAAGCCAACGATATCCTACATCAACTCGCATGCCCTCACACACCAGAACAAAACGGAGTATCTGAACGCAAACATCGACACATCCTTGATCTCACACGCGCAATGCTTCTTGAATCCGCTCTTCCACATAAATTCTGGGCGGAAGCCATCGCCATCGCACACTATTTAATCAATTTACTTCCTTCGAAAGCAATTTCCAACCATATCCCCGCTCAACTGCTACATGGCACGTCTCCGACCTTCACCAATCTTCGCACATTCGGGTGTCTTTGCTATCCCTGGCTCCGTCCGTATGTGCCTGACAAATTCACTCCTCGATCTCAAGCCTGTGTTTTTATAGGATACTCTCCTCTTCATAAAGGGTACAAATGCTTCAACCCTTCTACCGGCAAAACGCACATCTCTCGGCACGTTGTTTTCCATGAACACCACTTCCCCTATAAACAAAATTCCATTCATGGATCATCTCTCACCCCCACCCAACACCCTCACATTCCTCCGCCTCTCCTCATTCCAACCTCGGCTCTACCCCAGCCTTCGGTTCCAATCCCGCCCCCACCTCCATCTCAACTCCCAGCCCGGACATCAACCCAAGCCCTCTTATATCCAACGAATCTCCTACAAACTACACTATTTCGTCTCATAATATCTCTGATCCGCGACCCGTCTCGATTGGCCCTCAACCCCACCATATACAGACCCGCTCGAAGTCGGGCATTCACAAACCCAAGCAAGTTATCAATCTCCTCACTCACACAACCTCCCCATCCACCCCCACAACCTATAATCAAGCTATGAAATTCGACCACTGGCGTCAAGCTATGACTAAAGAATTTGATGCTCTTATCCACCAAGCTACTTGGTCCCTTGTTCCTGCTCCTCACAACAAACCGGTACTCGGGTGTAAATGGACGTTTAAAACTAAGTTGCTACCTAATGGTCAGGTTGACCGTTACAAGGCGCGATTAGTAGCACTCGCTACGATCAGAAATTCGGAATAAATTACACCGAAATCTTCAGCCCCGTCGCCAAGATGCCCACCATCCGCCTTCTTCTCACCCTTGCTCTTCAACGTCAATGGCCCATGTTTCAACTTGACGTGGCCAATGCGTTCCTTCACGGCGATCTCCCGGACGACATATACATGAGACAGCCCCCTGGTTTCGTCGATCCTCAACACCCGGCCGCTGTTTGCAAACTCAACAAATCCTTGTATGGTTTAAAACAAGCGCCGCGACAATGGTTCCAGAAACTTACAAATTTTCTTAAATCTCAAGGGTTCTCTTTCAGCCGGGCGGATCCATCTCTTTTAATTCTTGATACCGCTAGAACACAACTTTTTATTCTCATCTATGTTGATGATTTTCTAGTAACAGAATTGATCAAGCGGTTATTCGCCGTCTTCTCCAACAACTCCAGTTGGAATTCGCCCTCAAACAGCTCAGTGACATCTCTCTATTCCTC